TAGGAGCTGATGTGAATCTCTCTCTGAGGCGTTGGAAAGCGAAGTCCGTCTGGGGAGTCCACTTGAAGGGAACCTTAGGAGAAGTCAGAACATGCAGAGGGGATGCAACAGAACTGAAATTCCTAATAAACTTCCTATAGAAATTAGAAAACCCCAGAAACTGCTGAACCTTCTTCCTGGAGTCTGGTGTAGGCCACTGGGAAACTGCACTGATTTTAGCAGGATCCATCTGAATATGATTGGGTGAGATTATGTATCCTAAGAAAGACACCTCTTCTGTGTGGAACTCACATCTATCTGCCTTGACATATAGCTGATTCTCAAGCAGTTTCTGCAAAACCTGGCGGACATGGTTAACATGAGATTTAGCGTCTGGGGAGAAAATCAGAATATCATCAAGATACACGAACACAGAAATATTCAAAAACTCCAGCAGAACCTCATTCACAAAAGCTTGAAAAACAGCCGGTGCATTGCATAGTCCAAAAGGCATTACTAGGTACTCATAGTGACCACTCTGAGTATTGAATCATGTCTTCCACTCATCCCCCTTCCTTATTCTAACCAAGTGATATGCATTTCTTAAATCTAACTTGGTGAATATCTTGGCAGTTTGAAGCAGTTCAAAAGCAGATGACATGAGTGGCAGAGGATAGCGATTTTTCACCGTAATGTCATTTAGTGGACTGTAGTCTATGCAAGGTCTCAAGAGACCCGTCTTTCTTTCCCACAAAGAAAAACCCCGCTTCGGCTGGAGAAGATGAAGGACGGATAATCCCTGACTTGAGTGAAGAGGAGATGTATTCGTCCATTGCTGCTCTCTCAGGTCTCGAAATAGAATAAAGTCTCCCCTTGGGAATGGGGGCTCCCGGTAGGAGATCAATGGGACAGTCAAAATCTCGGTGAGGAGGTAGCGACAAAGCTTTTGACTTGTTAAATGCTTCTTTTAAATCATGGTAACAGGGAGGTACCTTCTGTAGATCAGGATAGTCAGGGTGATCTATAATGATTCTACTAGAGTCTGTTGGTGCATTAACAGGTTGTGAAAGTTTACACCTGCCAATACAATCCTCTCCCCATTCCTTAATTTTCCCTGAGCACCAGTCAATGTGAAGATTGTGTGTTTTCAGCCATGGAAACCCCAAAATAATCGGGTGCTGAGCCGACTCAAAAATATGAAACTGCATACTCTCTGTATGGTTCTTATTCATAGTGACCTGAATAGGCTCAGTGCAGTGGGTAACTGTGAACAACAGACGGCCGTCTAAGGCACTGGCGTTAATAGGGTGAGATAGCGGAACAGTCTTTATTTTTAGCTGATTGACTATGCAGTCCATAAGGCTTTCGTCAGCCCCTGAGTCTATTAACACACCCTGGTCAATGGCCTGATTGTTTATAAAAATGTTTGTCTGAGTAACAGGTGGCGCTCTCTCTCTCTTTCCCGAAGACGGTTGTTGATCCGGATGGCCACAGCGATGAGAGATTCCAGATCACGGGGCACCTCCAGTGGAGCCAGCTGGTCCTTTATTGGCTCTGAAAGTCCAGTCATGAAAGCGTCACGAAGAGCCGGAACATTCCACCCGCTGTCCGCTGCCGCTGTGCAAAACTCGATGGCATAATCAACCACCTGACGGTTGAGCTGACACATCTGGAAAAGTCTTCTGCTGGCCTCTATAGCAGGTGACGAGTGGTCAAAAATGTGACTCATAGTGTTTATGAAATCGGCCAATGAGTAACATAACTCAGTGTCTCTAGACCATTCTGCAGTAGCCCAGGCTGCAGCTCTTCCCGTTAAGTGAGACACAATAAAAGCCACTTTACGAGAAGGCTCCTGGGTGGTGTTGGAAATGCAGATCGCACTGTACCAAAAAGGCTCTGCAGTTCATGGAGTCTCCGGAAAATCTCTCCGGGAAGAGCCAGCCGTAAAGAGGAAGAAACAGACTGGTTCGGGTTGACTGTGTCAGCAGGATTCTCGACAAGGAAACCCCCAGCTGTGGATGACGTCACCGGAGGAGCAGTCTGTAGGTGAGTGAAGAATTGACTCATCTGTGCAGTCAGCTGTTGTATCTGCGTAGAGATGATTTCCTGAAACTCTGCCTGGCGTCCTCCCAGCTCTTTTATTCCCTAGTTGACTAAGCCCAGCTGTTCCTCGTGGTGGAAAATCTTCTCGCCTTGTGCTGACAGGGCGGCGTGAAGCATTCTTGGGTCGGCTGGGTCCATAACGGTCAGTTCGTTCTGTTACGAACTCAGATACTCAGGATATAGGACCCGATTGCAACGACCCATGAGACAGAGGTAAAGTATTAGTAAGATACTTTATTTTTCCAAAAGATGAACAAAATATGATCACTATACAATCTCAGGATGAGATGACAAAACGAGAACAAAGGAAAATCGCTCACATTGTGAGGAACAAAAACTTTCTTGAACAAAGAGAGCATAGACCTGACTTTGGCATGAGACAAGACGAACTGACAATGAACACTGGGAGACTGGGGAATTTAAACACACGACAACAAGACACAGGTGAAAACAATCAGGGGCGGGGCTGGTGCTAATGAGCACAGGAGACACATAAGGGGTGGACAATCAGGAAGCCTGGAATGAGAGGTAAATGGTGAGTGACAAAACAAACATAAAACAACATAAAAATGAACCTCTCTTAGCATTTCTGTCGGTGCACAACACTGGTGCTGTGCGATTAACAAGTAAATCACAAAATGTAGCTTTTTTTTTTTTTTCACATAGACTAGTAATTATAAAAGGGATAGATTTTTCCCAACCCTGCCGTTTATATAACAAGCACACAGAGTTCATCGATCATTTCTGTTCAACAGATTCTTCTGCTCTAAAATAATCTGGTCTTTTTAACTTTAGGAAAAGAGAAATCCTTCAGGATGGTTTCAGTTGACATTTGGAACAAGTTCAGTAGGTAGTTCCAGCTTTTCTGGGTTATTCTGCTTTTCATATTGTCAACAAAAGCGTTCTTCCCTATAACCCTAACTGGAACTCTCAACCCTAAGCCCCATCTATACTATCCTAAACAAGTTAATAATTTAAAGCAGCCAACAGATAAAAAATAGTTTTAAAGGGCCCATGTCATGCTTTTCCGGTTATTACCCGTCCCCTTGTGTGTTATGAAGGTTTTTATGCATGTAAACGGTCTGCAGAGTCAAAAACCCTCAAAGTACACCCTGTAGCGAGTAAAACTCTAACACAGAAAAGACCTGGCTCTATGCTGCCCCAGAACGCCTCGTTGGAGATTTCTTATTTTCCATTGTTTGCTTCCTGGGTTCTGTGACGTGTGAACACCCAAATCAACAACAAATGACCGGATTGGCCCAAATGGACCAATCCGCGGAGCACCTCACACACCAGGATCCCTTGGCTAACTAACAGGGAGTCCCCATTGACTTGCATAGAGCTCCCTGGTTGGTAATAGACGAGTTGGGATGGCGGAGAAATGCTCTCTGCAGACCCATTCTCACAGCGTTATAAACCTTTTTCTTACTCAATATCAAGCCACACTTATTGTTTTTACTTCGGCTGTGAGTGTTTGTGTGTGCTCAGGATGAGTTTCGCTTGTTCTCGCTGTATCGCCGACCCGGAAGCCTGTCCGCTCCTCGCAGCAGCTCGCAGCAACGAGCCTCGCACGTCCCGACCAATCAGAGCACACTGGGCTCACAGGGAGGGGGGGGGGCAGGAGCTCCAACAAGCCGTTTAGGACAGAGAGTGAATATACATACTATACAGAGATGCTGTATGAGAAACCAATGTGAGTTCTAGTAGACCTCAACAATGGAAATATGATAAGTAGAAATGGCCATGACATGGGACCTTTAATAAAAAAATGTAATTAAAGTATATGTGTAAATAGTACAATGCTTTGGGACCTCAGCAAAGGATGAACCCACATATAAAGTCAACATAAACTGTGTGTGTTCGTATTAAAGGAACATTTCAGGATCTGACTTTTAATGCACACAATACTTGCTAGTTGGACCAGTTTATTGGTAGTTTGAATATTTTCATGGGATTTTCTGACAAAAAATATTGACTATCACTATCCTAAATGACGGCTTAAATTTAAACAGTGTTGATCAGAAAAAACATGTGTGTCTAAGTGCGTTTAGTCCCATGAAGTCACTTCACTTGGTATATTCAACCCTAAAACAGCGAGGAATGTAAATATTTTTATGTTTTACAAAATATGTATTTATTGTCCATGGCGTCACATGGTTTGAGATTCTTTAGTTTTGTATCTGCAGGTCAGTAAGACGGGCCGGTAAAATTGTTGGCCTGGGTACAGGAGAGCTTGGAGAAATATCTTTGGAAGGTCTTTTTCGCGGTAAAACAGATGTGTACTCTGGCTGACTGCGGCTGCTGCTCTTCAGAAACTACAAACCGTTCACAGCCACGTCTCCATCCTCCATGGGGAGTCTGCCTCATACTCCAAAGATAGATTCTTGACCGGGTATTGTCAGTACTAATCACAGTGTGTGGATGGGATCACAATATGTGTCGGGAAGAGCAGCGACAGCCAAATCTCCACAACAAATGTGAGGAATGCTCCCCTGCAGATGCATTTTTAGAACCTATTTAAGGCAGCACAAATGCAAACCGCTCAATCTGAAGAGGTTTCATCAGAGGAAGAGGAACACCTGGAGTTCCCGGGATGTTCAGGCGTGTTGTGACAGCAAACATGGGGAAATCTATCAGCCTGCAAAAACACTGCAGCAGTCAAATTCAGACAAAGACAAAAATATGTAATGTTTGCTTTGCGCTGTAAGTGAGCAGGCTTTCCAGAAAGCTGCTCTGTATCCTGCTGCTGCACCCTCACACCCTGGATGAGACACACAGGCCACACAGTGTGTTGTGGCTCTGCGGTTGAATCCGGGTTCTGATCCAGAGCTGTGCACGGCCCACAGCTGCTTCAGGTTAAGCAGGGATAGAGACAAGAGCCTCCAGTTCAGTGTGTGTGTGTGTCTGTGTGTGTTTACCTGCAGGGGGCCAGGCTTTGATGTAGCCAGTGCAATGCACCACAGAGTACTGAGCCTCTCCTTCTTTTGAGGGTCCAAGGCCATTCCTGTCCATCAAACACAAACAGAGACATAACATGTTTAGTTCTCAGAAACAGTTAAGAAACGTGTAGATGCGCCAACCCTGCATGCATCCTGTTGCAGTTGCTCCTAGATGTGTTACTATTACTATTTACAAATGTTGGCTCTTTATTTCGTCTTACTTCTAATAGTAACTTCAAGTAGTAACTTCTAAAGCTGTGCTCCCTCTAAATGTTCTTGTAGAGAGAGATTTTGTTTGCTTTTTCCAAAGTAAATTACCGCTGCTCTGTTTACACCTCTGACAGCTGATTGAGTTAAAGTCGGTTAGCATGGCTGAACAACAGCTCTCCCACTGAAATCTGGAGACGGACACAGAGGATGCTGGGTAAACCAAAGAGACGAAGAAGGAGAGCTGGCTCCAGATTTATGGAGAAAATTAGATATAAGACATGTCTCCCCCTCGCACCATGGGCAACCTAAGAGCACTGGCTCGGAGTCAGACGGAATATCTATCATCATGAGCCTGAGTCTTCATGTCTTCATCATGAGCCTGAGTCTTCATCATGTCTTCATCATGAGCCTGAGTCTTCATCATGAGCCTGAGTCTTCATCATGTCTTCATCATGAGCCTGAGTCTTCATCATGTCTTCATCATGAGCCTGAGTCTTCATCATGTCTTCATCATGAGCCTGAGTCTTCATCATGAGCCTGAGTCTTCATCATGAGCCTGAGTCTTCATCATGTCTTCATCATGAGCCTGAGTCTTCATCATGAGCCTGAGTCTTCATCATGAGACTGAGTCTTCACCATGAGCCTGAGTCTTCATCATGTATTCATCATGAGCCTGAGTCTTCATCATGTCTTCATCATGAGCCTGAGTCTTCATCATGTCTTCATCATGAGCCTGAGTCTTCATCATGAACCTGAGTCTTCATCATGTCTTCACCATGAGCCTGAGTCTTCATTATGAGCCTGAGTCTTTATCATGTCTTCATCATGAGCCTGAGTCTTCATCATGTCTTCATCATGAGCCTGAGTCTTCATCATGTCTTCATCATGAGCCTGAGTCTTCATCATGTCTTCACCATGAGCCTGAGTCTTCATCATGAGCCTGAGTCTTCATCATGAGACTGAGTCTTCACCATGAGCCTGAGTCTTCATCATGTATTCATCATGAGCCTGAGTCTTCATCATGTCTTCATCATGAGCCTGAGTCTTCATCATGTCTTCATCATGAGCCTGAGTCTTCATCATGAACCTGAGTCTTCATCATGTCTTCACCATGAGCCTGAGTCTTCATTATGAGCCTGAGTCTTTATCATGTCTTCATCATGAGCCTGAGTCTTCATCATGTCTTCATCATGAGCCTGAGTCTTCATCATGTCTTCACCATGAGCCTGAGTCTTCATCATGTCTTCATCATGAGCCTGAGTCTTCATCATGTCTTCATCATGAGCCTGAGTCTTCATCATGTCTTCACCATGAGCCTGAGTCTTCATCATGAGCCTGAGTCTTCATCATGTCTTCACCATGAGCCTGAGTCTTCATTATGAGCCTGAGTCTTTATCATGTCTTCATCATGAGCCTGAGTCTTCATCATGTCTTCATCATGAGCCTGAGTCTTCATCATGTCTTCATCATGAGCCTGAGTCTTCATCATGTCTTCATCATGAGCCTGAGTCTTCATCATGAGCCTGAGTCTTCATCATGTCTTCACCATGAGCCTGAGTCTTCATCATGTCTTCATCATGAGCCTGAGTCTTCATCATGTCTTCATCATGAGCCTGAGTCTTCATCATGTCTTCACCATGAGCCTGAGTCTTCATCATGAGCCTGAGTCTTCATCATGTCTTCACCATGAGCCTGAGTCTTCATTATGAGCCTGAGTCTTTATCATGTCTTCATCATGAGCCTGAGTCTTCATCATGTCTTCATCATGAGCCTGAGTCTTCATCATGTCTTCATCATGAGCCTGAGTCTTCATCATGTCTTCATCATGAGCCTGAGTCTTCATCATGTCTTCACCATGAGCCTGAGTCTTCACCATGAGCCTGAGTCTTCATCATGAGCCTGAGTCTTCATCATGAGCCTGAGTCTTCATCATGTCTTCATCATGAGCCTGAGTCTTCATCATGTCTTCATCATGAGCCTGAGTCTTCATCATGTCTTCACCATGAGCCTGAGTCTTCATCATGAGCCTGAGTCTTCACCATGAGCCTGAGTCTTCATCATGAGCCTGAGTCTTCATCATGAGCCTGAGTCTTCATCATGAGCCTGAGTCTTCATCATGTCTTCATCATGAGCCTGAGTCTTCATCATGTCTTCACCATGAGCCTGAGTCTTCATCATGAGCCTGAGTCTTCACCATGAGCCTGAATCTTCATCATGAGCCTGAGTCTTCATCATGAGCCTGAGTCTTCATCATGAGCCTGAGTCTTCATCATGTCTTCATCATGAGCCTGAGTCTTCATCATGTCTTCACCATGAGCCTGAGTCTTCATCATGAGCCTGAGTCTTCATCATGTCTTCATTATGATATATTTATTTATTTTATTCTAAATGGTGCAACTGTCACAACACTTAATCTCTAGATAGATAAATAAAGTATTTTGATTCAAAAGCAATACATTGTCTCTAAGACTCATCTCTCTCTTCAAGTACCAGCTTTTACAATACCAACAGCTTTGCATTTATATAAAGTGTGATGCGTCACTACTATCTGTTCTGCAACATTATTATTGCATTTTATGACAATATTACAATTACATTCTCAAGATATTATAGTGGATAACCACCATGGTAATAGAAGCGGTTCTTGTACCTGTATCTCTTCCTCATGTTAGATAGTCGGTTTAGGGAGATGTGATCCAGGGGAGCACTACCGCACCTGCACACAAACACAGAGACACATGTTTAAGTGACATTCCAGTGGAAAACAATACCAGCAAACGGCTGCTAAGCACATTATGAGGCACACACATACAACTGCTTGACAATAAATGAGAACAATGTACTGACACACCTCAAATTATGCCCTCTTTACTGAAGATTAAAACATTTTGTTACTTGAAGTCCATTCTCACAAACTATCTTGCACTGTTCCACTGAGAGCTTGTTTATTATTGAAGATTAAAGATATTTTGTTTCCAATATTGTTGCAAAGTAAAGGTAAGAATACCTTAGGTAGTAGACAACTGTCTTGTGATACTCTTTATTTTTAAAAGTCAAATTCACCTAATTTCACATAGATTCAGTCTGAATTATGCTATTTTGGGGACGATGGGTTCCCAATACCCCATACATTTTCCACTTCACAATGTCTTTGAGCAGAGCTGTCAACTGTGAGCTGAAGGAGGGAAAGAGGGCAGAGCAGGGAAGAAGACAAAAGGAGGAAAGGAATGAAGGAAGAAATAGCAGAAGAAAGACTCTTTTCTTCATCCTACTTCCTTCCATTGTTTAAGAGGAGGGAGGAAAGAAAGACTCCTTTCTTCATCCTACTTCCTTCCATTGTTTAAGAGGAGGGAGGAAAGGAAGAAACACTCCTTTCTTCATCCTACTTCCTTCCATTGTTTAAGAGGGAGGAAAGAAAGAAACACTCCTTTCTTCATCCTACTTCCTTCCATTGTTTAAGAGGAGGGAGGAAAGGAAAACTCCTTTCTTCATCCTACTTCCTTCCATTGTTTAAGAGGAGGGAGGAAAGGAAGACTCCTTTCTTCATCCTACTTCCTTCCATTGTTTAAGAGGAGGGAGGAAAGGAAGACTCCTTTCTTCATCCTACTTCCTTCCATTGTTTAAGAGGAGGGAGGAAAGGAAGACTCCTTTCTTCATCCTACTTCCTTCCATTGTTTAAGAGGAGGGAGGAAAGGAAGAAAGACCAAAAGAAAGGAAGACAAATTAAAGGAACGCATGGAGAAAGAAAGAAGGCAAGGAAGATTAGAGAAAGGAAGGAAAAGAAGAGAAGGAAGGAAGGAAGGAAGAAAGGAAGGAAGGAAGGAAGGAAGGAAGGAAGGAAGGAAGGAAGGAAGGGGGAAATGGGAAAGAAAGAGAAATAAGAAAGGAAAGGAGGGAGGAATTAAAGGAAAGAATGGAGCAAACATGGAGGGTAAGAAGGAATGGAAGGTGAGAAGGCAGGAAGTGAGTGCTTCCAGTTGGACTTCCTCTGGGCCACGGTTCACAGTCTGAGCTGTTTTCTCTGTCTCGTGGCTGAGCGTTACATAAGCCAGCCTGAATCTAATCATGGCTGCCCTGAAACCCTGTCTTCCTCAGACATGTTTACACTATACGTGTCACAGAAGTGGTTGCGTTTCGGTTTGCTTGCAGTCTCGTTCAAAGCGTGCCAGCAGCATGTTGTTTAAATGATGCAAAGCCTGAAATAGCAACAGAACAGAAGAACATGGCAGTCCAACACATTCCTCACAACATGACACAGTGTGGCTCCGCAGGCCGAGGCCTCTGAGAAGGATCCGGACCAAAGAAGGCTAAAGCCACGCGTCATAGAGACAATGGAAAAGGTGTGTATGTTGTCCATGAAGCAGTATAAAGCTTCTCTGATGTATTTTGTAGCCATGTGATGTGATGTCCAACAGACGGCAATAGTTATTAGAACAGAAAGCAGGCCTGCTAAAGCCGGTCTCGGGTTTCAGGGCTTTTTTACTGATTTCTGCCTGATCTCCGGACATTCAGAGGAGCACCACACTGAAAAAAACTGAAAGGTTGACTTTAATTAAATGTATTATGTTGACAGGTTTCACATAACAGTATTAAGTTAGTTGAAAGCAATAATAATACATTTAAATAAACAATATTAGGTTCAACTTAATATTATTGCTTTCAACTAACCTAATACAGTTATGTGAAATTGGTTGACCCACCCATTACATTTAATTCAGTGTACTGGGTCAGTCCTGATGTTCGGAAGGTTATCCGAACTGTTCTCAGAATCATCATGGCTGCCCCAAATAACTTCACATTATATGTGTCATAACGTGTTTGAAATTCAGGAATTATTATCCTGATGTTTACGTCAGTACTTTCCGAGCAAGGCACAATGGTAATCATTCTAACGTGAGCTAACATATTACTGCTGACAGATAATAAAACACACAGTTAAAGTCTGACCTCCAGACAGTTGTTGCTGAAGAATAGACTATTGCCCCTTTCACACGAACGCAACTCCGGTTCAAGCTCCGTGCTAGAGCTTTTCTGGTTCAGAACCGGTTCTTCGGTTTAGCGCCGGCTCTTTTCACACCGCTCAGAGCCCGACTGGTGCTGCCGCTGCTGCGTCATGACGTCACAGTTTACGTCGCTGAGTTTCTCCCCAACGCCGGAGCTCACCTCACAACAACAACGGGCCGGGGACTGCGTTGCTTTTAATCATACGAAGCCAGATTAAATTAAATAACGACTTCTCCAACCTTATACTTTTCTCCAGAGTGCCGTGGTTCATTGTTTATTAATGTGTTTCAGCGGCATTTACCGACCGCTGCAGTGCTGGCCGGCTGCTCTTCAACGGGAGTGTATTCTCCCGTTAGCTCCGGGTTAGCTCACACGGCTCTAAAGTATTCACTGTCTGACTGTCACACAAGCAGCTGATACATATCCCCAGTTCCCCTTAAGTGAATGTGTGTCAGTCTGAATTGACGCTGTTTGGTGTCAGTCTGAATTGACGCTGTTTGGCATCACAACGCTGTTATGAAAGTTTCTCTGGTATAACATGGGTGATGTTAGCATAGCAACCGAAGCTAAACTGACTACTTGCTAAGCAGTTTTCTACAGGCACTTTTTACCGACGTATTTTTCATTATGATTCTACTTGTGATAGTCGGACATGACAACCTGTGCAGCCCATGTATTGATTCCATCCGATAGCTGCTATAATAACAAACAAAACGTCTGCCTGCTCTCCACAATGATCAATAACAGCGAACGGATGGTCAAAGTAAGGTACAAATAAACAGAATCACACGAAGCCTGGTTAGTGTTGCCTGACTTTATAAAGTGTGTTTTTTTTAACAAGTGTGTGGTTGCGTTCTAGTCACTTTGCTCAGCACTACTGCTTGTTACAACTTTTATTTGCCGTACTCGCCTTAAGTGTTAGCTCAGGTTAATCTCGCCCCCCCTCCGACGTAAGCGTGACGTATGCGGTTCTTGCTTCTAGACGGACAACTTTTTGGTGCTCGAAACGAACCGGATTCCGGAGCTATGACGCTGCTCCGCTGCGGTGTGAACAGGAAAACCCGGTGCTTTTCAAGCACCAGCACCGAACCGGCCCTGAAACACCGTTGGTGTGAAAGGGGTATTAACGACCTAAAACAGGAGTCTCCAACCTTTCTTCATCTGAGAGCTACTTTGAAAAAATTAAAGTGGCCAAGAGCTACTTGCATCACATCGCTTACATTTATTCACATAGCACTCATCGGTTGAATTAAGCTACTTTTGTACACGTGTGAAATTGCAATACCCAAAGCTTATCAAAAATCTTAACTTCACATCAAGGTCCAAGAAAACGACAATGTCTCACATATTATTATGGCCCACATAATAGGTACATCACTGAAAATTCACATAAATGTCCAAGAGAAAAATAAAATGTTTTCACTTCTTATTATGGCCCACATAGTAACACCTTACAAGCATCTTATGGCACAGTGTATTCACTCTTTTTTTTCACAGTTAGTTTGATGACTGGCACTGCATGGAGTCCACCAGAGGTGTATGCTGGAGTGTACCCACTTAGGTTCACTCTAATAGAGTCATTTAAATGTTCATCAGTCAGTCTTGTTCTGTATTTAGATTTCATTCATGTCAGAAAAAGCTGCTTCACATGTCTGCTTTATTTGTCTGTAGAGACAAATAAAGCAGACATGTTCAGTGCTGCTTGGTGATGTTCTTATAGTTTTCTGGGTCTACAAGGCTCCAATAGAGTTGTGATTTTTGCCGAGACTTAAGCTGAACATGATTTTGGAGATTTATAACCTCCATCTCCACAGGATTGACACTGAACAGTTCAGCCATCTTCTTCTTCTTCGTCTTGACATGAAATTATAAACCATAATAAATCAATATATAGGTCTAGCCTCCCTATATCTGTGTGTGAAATTGTTCCATCCTCAAAAACAAAAAACTAATACTTCTGCAGTCTAGCTGCAGCTTCTAGCAACGGTCTTCTGTTAAAAAAAGGACACTGAAGGTCCTGAATGTGGCATCACACACAGGACTTGAGTCTGAATCATAGACTGTATATAAATGGACGTAGTGTCCGTGACGTCACCCATAGGATTCTGCAGAGTTGCCGAGAAGCCCTTAGTAGGCGGAGTCGGCCACTAACGTCTCGACAGTGACGTCAGAGTCTAACTCCCGCCTGCTTCAGCCTAATCCAAATAAGGGCGAAGAGGCGGAGCTGAGGCGGGACCTGCTGCCACCGAGCTGGAAGTTCCAGAGCTAGCAGTTCCAGAGCTAGCTCAGGCTAAGAAGCTAAGCTAAAGGAAACCTTTATACAAAAATACATGACAAGTTATATGTTAGGTGTTAACAAGCAAAACATAGAACTTAAATGAGTGATGCAATGTGGAAATGTAAAAATGTGACAGTCAAAAAGCATAGGTGTTTTAATGCCATATTCACTTAATAACGCATGAACTACTTTTACAAATATTTCTATATAGTCTGTGTTGGTAAATGTCATCTACGTTGCACATTTCCTGCTGAAATACATGCATACCAAGTTACATGGCACTTTGCATGGCACTTTGGTTTTGATAAAACAGTGTAGTTCCACTATATAAACGTTACATTCATAATCAAACGAGACACTCTGCAAGAGAATTCGCTATTTTTTGTTATTCTTAAGGCTTGTCATTCACACGTTAATAAAATGAAATAAGTAGG